TAAGGAAGTCCTAATGAAGACTAAGTTCAGATCACTGAACAGTATTTCACTAAAACACCTTTGAAGACTAGGCTCAAAACACTGAACAATATTCCACTAAAGCCCCTTTAAATATTATTTAAGACTGCTATATTTGATTATACAGAAACTTATAGTTTCTGTCTTGGGCCTGGCATTGGTGGCACATGACTTTAACCCCGGAACTTAGGAGGCATAGACAGGTGGATCTCTGTGAGTTTGAGGCCAGCCTGGTCTACAGAGCAAGTCTTAGGACAGGCTCCAAATGCATACAGAGAAACCATTTGAAAACACAAAGCAAGCAAACAAACAAACAAAAAACCCCCAAACAAAAACAAAGTAACTAAGTTATTACCTAGGAAAATATAAAATATGTATAAAATGTATACATAAGGCTAACTTCTTTGCACTATAAAGAACTCATACACATCACAAAGAAAATTTGAGCCTAGCCACCAAACCACTGGGCAGGCTTCAACAGCCCCCTCTGAGTACCATTCATCCTTGCACCGTGTGTCATCTGTCATCTGCTGTGTCATGTGCTCCCACTCTCACAGCCCTTCTCAAGTCTGGTGCTTGGGGGAACAAGGAATCCTAACATGTCCACCAGTTAGAACCTCTGCTCTTTCCATCCCTTTGCCTGTTTCCTGCTCACACTGAGGAGGTTATCCATATGAGAACTCAGGCCTGGAGAGATGGTTCAGTGGTTAAGACCACTTGTCCCTCTTGCAGTGGGTCCAAGTTCCATTTGCAGTACCCACATGGTGGCTCATACCTTCCATAACTCCAATTCCAGAAGATCAGACACTCTTCTGATCTCCCTGGACACCGGGTACGAAAGTGGTACACTTATATTCATGTAAAACAGTCGTACACATAAAATACAAAATTTGTTAAACATAACAGATCTAACAGAGTCATAGCAGGAGGATTCTTACTACTACATCCAAGGGTCGCTGAGAATCATGAAAAAACACCGTTGAAAGTTTTAAGACAAACTGTGCCTACAGTGGGGCTGTAAAACTGAGCAGCCAGAGTATGGAGAGTGATTCAGTGACAGTGTGACCAGCACAGGACACATACCTGAGGGAACTGGCCAAAGAAGGCCCTTGTTCATATACACAGTGCACGTACACTCACATGCAAAATACACATAAAAATTAAAAATCCACTAATTTAAAGACAGAACAAGACACATCTCACCCAGGTAAACAAAGTAGGGAGCGATGATGCTGCCCACCCTGGAAGCCATGGAGGTGGTGCCCACGGCCATGTTCCTGACCAGGGTTGGGTAGAGCTCTGCAGTGAAGACATACAGCATGGAGAAGGCAGAGGTGACCCCAAATTTCCCCAGCATCACCAGGCCAATGGACACGAAGCTATAATCTGGAAGAGAGCTTCATTTCAGACAGGGTGCTTCTAGGATCGATACTGAACTCTCACCTTTTTGCTGCAATGTGGTGGTTCCTTCTAAAGTCCTGGGGACAGGACTCTGTCCTAAAATATCCTCATCACCAGATGGTTGGAGATGGAGGCGATGTGTGGCCTTGGACTTGGAGCTACTCTTATTTTGGATTATTAATGCATACTGTGGCCTCTTTCCACTTGTCTTGTTACAAAAGTTTCATGGTGAGTTGTTAGGTGTTAATACAATTAAATTTCCTCTCTAAAGAGAGGGGCCAGTCATTCCTGATTTTTATTATTAACAAATCTAGTTCTAGCTGGGATCAGTGGTGCATGCTTAAAAAGACACTTATTCCATTTTTTTTAATGTGGTGTACACATGTATATGCTGTTTGCACGATTTTACATGTGTATAGTCATACAAAACTAGAATTACATGTGAACCATCATGCCTGCCCAGCATTTATTTGTGTTCTGGAACCCGAACTCTGGTCCTCATGTACTTTACCCACTCAGCTATCCTCCCAGCTCCAGGTGCATGCTAATAATCCAAGCTACTAATACTTGACTGGCTGAAACAGGAGGATCACAAATTCAAGGCTAGTCTAGGCTGTGTAATGAGTTCAGGGCCAGGCTAGGTCACTACATGAAAATAAACGAAGGGCTGGGGATATGGTTCCATGGTAGAGTTCTCAGCTAGTATAAGGCACTAGGTTTAAACCTTAATACTGCAGGGGTTAAAAAAGTTAACAAAAAGAAACAGTGTTCTTTGCATATTACAATGTGTAAATAATATACCAGCCTGTTTTTTAACCAAAGGAGAAAGTTAAACACACTAGGAAAAGGAAATATATTCCCCATTGTGTCATTTTTGGCTTTGGAGTTTTTTATTATTTAGTCTTACTGCACCCTCTCCACATTCATTAGTTATTTATTTCTGTGAGCAAGTGTGTGTCCGGGCATGTGTGTGATGAGAGGGAGAGATGCTGGGGTCGGTTTTCTCCTTCCTCCTTGTGTGTTCCAAAGATGGAAGTCAGGTCCACAGGCTTGGTGAAAAGCACCTTTACCCACTGAAACATTCTGCTTGCACTATCTTGCTGTTTTTGTTTGACAGTGTCTCATGCAGCCTGAGCTGGCCTCAAATTAGCTATGCAACTGAAGACTGGTTTTGAACTGGTCCTCCTTTCTTTACCTCCTAAGTGCTAAGATTATAGGGATGGGCCACCATACCCTGCTGGGACACTTGTTGGGAAAATAGGAAACATTCTAGTCAGCTGTCACCTGCCTATCTGCCTATCTGAACATTTGGTGATGTCAGAGCTGTGTTATGGGGAAGTGGTGACTCGTGGAAGGCTGGTCACTGGTACTGATACTCTAGGCCATTAATATATCCAGGTTTTCTGGAATGCTATTAGCCTGAGCTAACTACTTACCTTCAGGTACCACTTGGACCAAGAGAAGCACACCTCCTCCCCAGAACAGCACCCCGGCTATGATGTATCTCCGAGGCAGCTTTCTCAGCAGCAGCCAGGCTGTGAAGTAAGCTGGAACTTCAATCAGGCCAGAGAGGAAGCAGTTCAGGTAGATATCGCCATGTAAATTAGGAACATTGAGAGACAGAGCAAAGTAACCCACTGAGGTTAGCATCCTGAAAGACAGACCAATGATACAATCACAAAAAGATGACCCATGGCTCTCTAAACTTTTGTGATGGTCATGCGTTGGTCTAGGGCCTGTGTCCTCTAAGCAGGCGCTAACCATGTGGGGCTATTTGGATGGAAATACATTACAGTGAGACTATAAGTTCAGTTTCTCAGTTGAAATGACACTTCACATGTTTAGTAGCCACATGAGTCTAGTGGCTACTGTGATGGACAATTCAGATCTCCAGTATTTCTGTCTCTGTAGAAAGTGCTATAGAACAATGTCATTCTGAATAAACCACTAGTCAACAGTGCAGATGCCCCTGTGAAGACATCTGAGCATGACTGGAGAACACACATCTCTGAAGAAGGCTTTCAGGAACATGCTGGGTCTCTGTCTACTAGACTAGGTGGGGTCATAGGACTAATCCAAAACAACATGAAAAAGTTAACTTTATTGCTGCAGAGAGTCATTTACACTCACATGTGGTGTAAGAGCAGCTTGGATGGGGCTAGGTCTTGGTGATTATTGGCTCCCTGGTGCCATTACTAGGGTACATTGCATGAATGATGTGTGCAGACAGCTAAGAATGAAGACAGCTCACAGAGGCTGTGGCCCAGGATATTTCATACTGCTTGCTTGCTTGCTTTTGTTCATTTGTTCTTTGTTTTTTTTCCCAGACAGGATTTCTCTGTGTATCTATGGCTGTCCAGGAACATACTGTAGACCAAGCTGGCCACAAACTCCCAGAGATCCACCTGCCTCTGCCTCCCTGAGTGCTCATACCAAAGGCATGCATCACCACCACCTGACTGATATTTTTCTAATCACCAAACAGCATGGTTCTAAACTAGAGAACCTGCTATGCCAGTCCTAGTACTCAGCTTTGTGTGTGTGTGTGTGTGTGTGTGTGTGTGTGTGTGTGTGTTGCTATCTCTGGGGCAGATAGGTTGTTATTATTTTTCCTTCCTTATTTCTTTGAAGATTTGTTATTAAATCTAGTTAATAAAGCCAGGTCATTACTTCTGTGCCTTAAACTCACATGTTAATTTGCTACTGGGAGGCAGGTTACTCTAACTTCACTGTTCAGTTCAGAAAGCAGGTGAAGACTTGACACTTCTGCTTTGGTCCCTAGAGGGCATCTTCAGCCTCAAGCCAATCACCTTCCAAGTGGGGTCCCCATACTATAGACTTGTTGTTACTTATAACTTTCCAAGTATTCAGTTCAATCAATCAATCAACCCAGAACATGTCTAAAGACCTTAGAATTCCACAATTCTCATTTTGCTGCAGGGGAAGCCTAGGCTTTGTCACATTCCTTCAAACTAAAGAAAATAAGTTGCATACTTGGGTGTCACACATCTGCATTCTCGGAGCACTCATTGCTTACCACAGCATCACAGACATCACTGTTATTGTGGCAATGTTCCGAGTCTTGAACAGGTCCAGAATGAAGACTTTCTGCTGCTTCAAGGAATTTAGCTCCTGTAGCTAAAATAACATAAATAAAACGTGAGATAAGGAGGTAGGCAGGAAGTACCCATGGGAAAAATTGGGGCATACAACTCTTTTTTAAAATTTTAATTTAAAATTATTATTGTTAATATCGTTATTATTGTTACTACTAAGACAGGGTCTCATGTATCTCAGGCTGGCCTTTGACTCACTATGTAGATGAACATGATCTTGAACTTCGGGCCCTCCTTCCTCCACCTCCCCAGTGCTGGGATTACTGGCATGCATTACCATGCCACGTTTGATACTGGGGATTGAAGCTTTATGTATGCTAGGTGAGCACTCTGCCCACTGAACTACATCCTGGCCCATTCCTGCAACTCGTATGGAATCTTTGATATGCCTCTAACTCCACAAATTGAAGGCAGCAAGGACATCTCCAAATATGAAATCATTCTAACTCTTTATTTAAAACATAATTCTAAATTCAGGCTTTGACAATTTCATGCATGCCTCTAATGGATTTTTGGTCATATTCCCCTCCTACCCCTTCTGGAATCTTTCTTCTTCCCAGCATGTTCTCCTCCTCCTTTCAGCCATTATGTAGCTCCTCAGCTAGGACCAAGGACTGATGTGATCTCCCACTCCCATGCTGGGATGTTGAAGGCCTGGGTCTTGCAGGTAACCAAACTGCCTTGGGTTCCTTAGTGCAATGGCTATGCCATGTCCAACAGCTAGCATTTCACATAATTTCTCCTCATCATCTGGCTCTCACTCTTTCTGCCCTGTCTTCCATATTGTTTTCTGAGTTTCTAATGCTTAAATATGTTTAATGCAGTCCATTTTAGACAGAAGCCATCAAAATAAATGGCATTAGCCTCATTGATGAGTGCTGACCAGCTTTTCCTCCACTCAACTTTAACATGAGTAACCTTTATCACACTGAGCTAGAATCTGTAAAACCTATTGAATTGAGAGAGCCATGAAGCTCCAAAGTGGCTAGGGGGCTGTGCGTGCGTGCGTGCGTGCGTGTGTGTGTGTGTGTGTGTGTGTGTGTGTGTGTGTGGGCCCAAGATTGGGAATCATCTTCAACCATTCTCCCATCTCATTTGTTGAGACTGGCTCTCTCTCTCCCAAACCTAGAGTCTCTAACATGGCTAATCTTGCTAGCCTGATTGTTCTAGGGATCCCATATGTGGTGGTGTGAATGAGAATGCCCCATAGGTCCATATGTTTGAATGCTTAGCCTCCACTTGGTAGGACTATTGGGAAAGGATTAGGAGGTGTGGCTTTGGTGGAGAAGGTGTGTCACTGGGGGCAGATTTTAGGCTTTGAAAGGCACACTCTTCCCAGTGTGTTCCCTCTGCTCCTACTTGTGGATCAAGATATGAGTTCTCAGTTTTCCTGCCACCATGCCTTTTCTCTGCCATCATAGACTCAACCTCTGAAACCCAAGGTCAATTGAATGATTTAAGTTGCCTTGGACATGGTGTTTTGTCATGCAATGGAAAAGTGACTAAGACACCCTGTTTCCACCTTCCAAATGCTGGAATTATAAATGGGCCACCATAACTTCTACACACTTGCATGGGTTCTGGGGATCTGAACCTGGGTCCTCATACTAGCATGGAAAGCACTTGTTACCACTGAGCCATCTCCTCAGTCCTCATGGTGCCTTTTGTCTGTTGCATTGTGTGGATGACTTATCTCAAGCAATATATAATATAATATAGTGGTTAGCACAAAGGAAATCCTAAACTTATGGGAATTGGAAGTCTTCAAACAGGGCTCTAGGAATTCCACATATAACATAGGACCCAAGGGCCAGGTTGGATTAACACATTCCACTTCCATAGGGCCTCTGTTGAAATGCAGACTGCCAGGTCCCCTCAGGCCAGCTTCCTCTGAATCTTTCATTGAGACTGGAGATCTGGGAACCTGTTTACTTAAAGCTTCATAGGTGACCATGATTAGCAACAAGGTGCAGAAACATCAGGACAAGTGATTGTCTCTGGTCTGAGAGGAGCCACCCAAATGTCTCTGGATAAGGTAAGGTACATGAGTAGGTTGAAGGGGCTTCTTCCAAAGCCAGGGAAACTTAAGGTTACTCTTCAAGATGATGTGACTCTTCCTGGCTTCCTGTCCAAGTTAATACCATAATCCCTGGCATAAACTGACAATTGCCATTCACTGGAGCATGCACTTGCTCTCAGAGAAACCCAGGAAATTCACAGCTCAGTAGCAGTGTGATCTCTGATAAGTCATTTCTCTGTGTTTCCATTTCCCTTTCCTGAAAAAGGAAGCTCATAGCTAGATCTACCAGTGGCTGACGCGAGCATTGTATGAGTCAGACAGACTGCCTTGTACCTAGTAGTCTCTTCACTGGCATTCTGAATAGGCTGCATTGGCTGCTGCACATCCTCCTACACAAGGTTCCAGCAGGTGGTGAGCAGGGGAGATGTCAGGGCTAGGAAATCAAGGACTCTATTTCCCTTAGTGGGTGTGTCCAGCTCAAGATAGATGCACATCACAGCAGGCAGCAAAAAAGTCCCGTCAGGAGTCTGTGTTTCTGGACTTTGTTCTTTTTTGTTCATGTCAATTTTATGATGCTTTCCTCTGTGTAGATATCTCCATAATCACACTGTCACACTGTACATTTCTTGAATATAGGAATGAAGCTTTCTATCTGCTAAATACTAATACACACATAGCTCTGAAAAGCAGAAGCATTATTTATAACCAGTGTCCTTTTTGTACCTAGTTAAGTTTACTAGGACTGGGATGACCTTTTGAATTCAAACAGCAAAGGATAAAGGATTCTTTGTCCAGGCAGCCCTCTGAGAGCTTGGGTTCATGGCCACTGGAATGAAGATTCCAGCCATGGCCTAGGTAGCTGCTTTTGGAAAGGGTCCTGGTAGCCAGAGATGGTGGAAATCCTTGGGTTGTATAGTGATACAACATGACATGTCTACCATCTCCCCACAGAGTCCTGCTTGCTGGTGAAGGCAGTAATGCAAGAGCTAGCACTCGTCATGCAAACACAAATGCAGTCACCAGGGTCATCTTCAGGCATCTTGAGGGCTCTTTTCCTCATCCTGGCCAGCAGTACCCTGACCCCTCTACTCCCCTGTATTAATCTCACCATCCTTCAGGTGTGAACTTGCCACTTCAGGCCTTGGGCACCTTGCTGTCTTTCTGTGTACTGCTGGCATGTAGTGTTTGTTTGTTGGGTTTCTTAGCATCTTTCCTCTGTCATCAATTCCCTTTGCGGCAACTCCTCTTGCCTCCTTCACTATATTCTCTGATCTTTTAGTGTGGGGGCCATGTCTCAGCATTCTTGTCTCTAGGAGCCAGCATAACATGACATCCCCAATGTCCTCACTGTCACAATATGAGCAAACCCCAAGGTATATCAGCTTTCCCTCATGGCCACCTGCCTTCAGAAGTGGAGCTTGCAGCCTGTGCTCTCAGGCATTGAGGCCTTGGCCATGCCAGACACACCAACTGGAGACATGTACTGCTCCCCTAGCAGGCTTCAGTGTAATTCAGGGTGCAGTGGGAACCAAGGGTTGACCAGCCCTCAGATGCACTTTTTCCAGGGATGGTGCGTATTTTAAAAATCATCAGTATAAGAGGCCTGCTTTGGGTGCCATGTGGTGCCCGGGCACTGTGGAAGACACTCAGAGGACCCCTGGGTGCCATGCAGTGTCACTACCATGAGCAAATGATGGAGAAATGGGAGAGAAAGATAAGCAGAGTGGTCTATGTGCTGTGGAGAGAGGTGAAAACGAAGATGGGAAGGCTGATGTGAGTGGCCTGTGTGGTCACCCGAGGCCATGTGATGTCCAGGCCCTTGCTGCCACTGAGGGACATGTCTGGATTTATGGCCCTGCCGCAACTGGGGTCTGTGTTAATGTCTGTAGCCCATGTTACCGCTGAAGGCCAGCCCGGGTGGAAGCCTGTGGCCTGGGCCACCACTTGAGACCAAGTTAAGGTTTGAGGACAATGCTGATGCTTGGGCCATACTGATTAGAGGGGCCTGTGCTGCCACCTGAGGCCATGGTGACCTCTGGCCTGGGCTGCAGCTGAGGACCATGTCTGGGTCTGTGGTCCAGCTGCAGCTGGAGTCTGTTGCTATCCCTGCCCTTGTTAACATCAAGGGCCATATGGATGCCTGTGGTCTGGGCCACCACTGAGGCCATGTTGATGTCAGAGGGTCTTGCTGCCTTTGGGGCCATCATGATGTGGGCGGGCTGCACTGCCACCTGAGGCCATGGTGTTGTTCAGCCCTGAGCTTGTGGCTGAGGGCCATGGCTATGCAGATGCCCTGGAGTCTGGTCTGCCACCTGGAGCCGTGTTGAGGTTTGAGAGCTGTGCTGAGCTGGCCGTGTCCCTCACTGGCCCTGGGAGGACTGGCCCCAAGCCTCACTAACTACCCCAGGGGGAGAGCTGACACTGACTCCCTCATGGGAGACCTAGCCCCAGTACCCTGGGCACAGGAGAGCTGGGCCTACCCCTCAAGGGCAACTGCAGCAGGAGAGCTGGCCCCTATGGCAGGGACGTGGGAGAGGTGGCTCTGCCCCTTTCCTGAGGAGCCGTCTCTGTGGAGGCTCAGACTGATAGAATCAGTTACCACCCCGGCCCATATCCAGGGCTTTGAGTTGGCCCACTCCAAGATCTACCCTATGAGCTGCTGGATCATGTGAGGGGCTGGCCTTTGCAGAACCATAGCTGCAAGATCTCTATGACTCAGGGCAATAGCAGGACATCCAAAAGGAGTTTCAGTGAGGGTCCAGTACTGATAGTTACCAGAGGCCAGAGGTCTTGAATCAGACCAACAGCTCATCGCAATGAACACTTGCAAGTAAAGCTATTTGGGAAAAATGGTATACTGTGTGATACATCACAGCTCCCAATGCCACCATGACAAAGGAATATGTGACAGAGAGATGGAAAAGGTGAAGGAATGATGTGGATATGTTTTCTTCTATTGGGGAGAAGGATACAGGGTGAACATGGGAGGACTGGGAGATGAGTGGGATTGGAGTACATGATGTAAAATTCCCAAAGAATCAATAAAAATTATGTTATAAAAATCATCAGTATATAACTTTGCAATGGTTAAGCACAAATGCCAACACCAAGTTGGAAACTTGCAAAAGAAAAAAGGTAGCCTATTCAACAAATGATGCTGGCAAACTGGATTGCCACCTGCAAAGAATGAAATCAGTTTACTGTCTTTCACCTGTTCAAAACTCAACTCAAAATGGATAAAAGGTCTTCATTTAAAATTGGAAATGCTAAAACTTCTAGAAGAAAACTTAAGAAATACTCTTCCAGACACTGGGGTAAAGAAGAATTTTCTGAACAGAGCTTCACCAGCACAGGAAACCCCCAAATACCAGCAGATAGGACAACATTCAATTAAAAGTTTCACACAGCAAATGATCACAGAGCAAATACCTCACAGAATGGGAGAAATTCTTTACCAGCTACAGTGCAGGCAAGGGGCTAATGTCCAGAATTCACAAAGAATCACACAAATTAAATACTAAGGGAATAAAACTGCCAGTCAACAACTGGGGCTTGTGAATTGAAGCCCTAGTTAAAGACAGTTAAACAAAGACAGTTAAAGACAGTTAAGACAGTTAAAACAAAACAAAATAGCAACAACAAAACCACAAGGCAGGCAATGGTGGGCATGCTTTTAATCTCAGCAGAGGCAGGAGGATCTCTGTGAGTTCAAGGCTAGCTTTGTCTTCAGAGTGAGTTCCATGACTGCTAGGGACACACAGAGAAACCCTGTTTCAAAAAATCCAAACCAAACCAAACCAAATCACCATTTTTAAATGTATAAATAATCCTTTAGGTATATTTTTAGTAAGAGAGATGACATCTTACTATGTTACTCAAGCTGGCCCTACATGCCTGGACTTAAGAAGTCTCAGGCTGGACAACAGGTGTGCAACACCATGCCTCCCAAGATTTTATATGAGAATGTAATCATGATTACATCCCTGATAACCTAGTGCAGTGCCTGGTGCATTGTGGGCACTTAATAAATAGTGAGTTACATTAAATTCTGTAAAAGAAAGGCTGCAGAGCTGATCTCAGAAGGAGGCGTCCGCACACACGTGCTCACTCACCTCCAGAGGATCGAATATCACTGTGGGCGCCACGATGCTGTTCATCTTTGCGGCTTTCTGGATGATCTGTTCTGCCTCTTCAAATCTCCTCTGGGATATCAGCCACCGGGGAGATTCGGGAATAAACCTAGGATTCATTTGCACTGGTTCCTAACCTTTTACAAGCTTTTGATGTTAGCAAACACACATAGCAAAATAATCCTAGGTCATCTTAATGTTGCAAATACTCTATTTTTGCACATAAATTCTATTTCTAGGGTACAATATGACATTTCAATGAATCTGTATCAAACCTCTGGGCAAGCTCGTGACAAGTTTCTGGACCGAGTTAACTGAGGTGGGATGACACACCCTAATGCGGCTAAAAGGAGAAAGTAAGCTGAGCACCAACACTCTGCCCTCTCTGCTTCCTGTCTGTGGGCACAGTGTGACCAGCAGCTTCAAGCTCTTGCTGCCATGGCTTCCCTGCAGTGATGGACTCTACCCCTAAGCTGTGAGCCAGGGCAAACCCTTCCTTCCTCATCAGGTATTTTGTGACAGCAACAAGAAAAGTAATATGGAGCTTCTCTTGGGCACAGAGTTGTGTGGAGTGTGGCCTGCCCTTCCTTACTGACCTCAGCCTGGATTCCAGAGGAAACTTCCAGATAAATTAGCATACTGTCTAGCTCTTAAAAAGCGGTCTTTCAAGGATTAGTAGATTAAGAGTACTGGCTACTCCTCCAGAAGACCTGGGTTCAATTCTTAGTGTCACCAGCAACCGTAACTTCAGTTCCAGGGGATTTGAGGCCCTCTTCTGGCTGTCCTAGGTACTGCATGAATATGGTACACAGACACACATGCAGACAAAACACCCATATGCATAAAACTAAGAAAAAGTGATCTTTAAATGCCAGTGAAATAAACAACAAAAAAACCAAGAAAGGTTATTTTTCCAAATATTAATTCCACCTGAACCTTCATACGCCCCTCACTCTAAAATATCACTGCTGGGAAAACCTCAGCAGCTGGGAGGGAAAAGGAAATAGAGGTTGGAGAGGGGCAGCTGAGCCATCCATCCCCTCAGATAAGGCAAAGGGGGACACTTGCCAACTCCTGTGGCTGAATGACAGCTGCAGAAAGATGAAGGTCCTTCTAGCCAGTTTCCCAGGCAGGTGTCACAGGGCAACCAATAGGACTAAACTGTGAATCCCATAAAGTGACTGAAGAAACCTTTATTACCTTAGTCATGTAAGCAGGTGGCAATTGAGCGGTTGGTAAAATGGGTCATTTTTAGAAGACTGGATTTTGATAGAACACAATAAAACCAAGATGAATTAGAGAGAGTAAGTGAATAATTGGGCCAAGTGGGCAAGTAGTTTCCTTTTGTCTTGTTTAAATACGAGAAAGTAAAGAAGGAAAATTCTGAAGAGGGGGCTGTGGCTAGTACTTTATTTCAATTTTTTAAAAAATCTGTTCTTGTCAGGTAATGGTAGTGCACACCTTTAATAACAGCACTCGGGAGGCAGAGGCAGAGGCAGAGGCAGGCGGGTCTCTGAAGCAGAGGATATCCTGGTCTACAAAGCGAGTTCTAAGACAGCTAGGGCTATACAAAGAAACAAAAACAAGAAATATGTTCTCTTCCTGAACCTTCCAGTTATCCCTACATGGTAAGACTTAGTCAAGAATCTCCAAACTTGGCTTTTCCCACAAGTTCTGTTCCAAACTGGGTTGAGGAAGACTTTGAGGGCATTGTCTCTGTGGCACTCCTTGCCCAGTATGCACAGAGCCCTAGGTTCAATCTTCATTTCAAAATGATTGTTTCCATGGCAGAGGGGGGAGGTGGGGGTGGGAGGAAGATGGGG